ATTTACCAAATGCATATTTACCAAGTGCGCACTATGCAGTTTGTATACACTGGACATGGTGTGCACGGTCCTTTATGCAACGCGCTTTGTATACGATAGGTGATATAATAATACAGCTGTAAAAAAAAATGTGGCAGTAAAATTAAGATTTTAAAGATATATTCGCTTTTACGTCTTCGCTTCTAGTCGAACATTTCACGAAATACTTGAGTGACAAAAATATCTTTAATAAAGACACCTACAAGGCGAAGCATCGTAGATAAGTTGAAATAACTTTTCAAAAGGAATAGAGAGAATAATATACATTGCAATATTTGACAGTCAAGTATTTAATATAATATGGCCATCGTGAAATCTCATATGTAACTATGCAATGTTTCCCAACCACAGCTAAAGTTATGCTTTGTTTTCACAAAAAAATGGGTAATATAAGTTTACCATCTTCATTTGTATTTAGTAATAGCAAGACAGTTTGAACGCATATAACACCCATTTTATAATTAAAGTAGTGGCTTTGTATTTTATAATTCTTTTCTATACGAATATAGTAACTCTACTCAGCTTTTGACAGAAAATAGTAAAATGTGCAATTACTCTAAACTTCTTACAATTCATATTCTAAATAAACATTATCTAAATAGATAACCATGTAATGTAGATCAAGGTCAATATAGATATAATTAAATATTAATTACTGTACTTGCAATGTTTTCTAGTTGAGCGTATTTTAGTGTTTGTGTCTCTGTTCTCTCGTCGAGTATCGCGTTATTATTCGCTTTTTATGATAATATTCGAGCAAGTTTATTTTTCACACTTCCAAGAATCATTGTAATTATGTTCTTTTACGAATAAGGGAAGAAGTCAAGTAAAAGATAATTCGAAATATGTAAATAATAAAAAATTTGGAAATTATTTTACTCAATTAACTTGCATAGCGTAGTGAATTTAATTTGATTCTTGGAAAAAATTTGAAATTGTTGCTCAGGTCTGCAAGATTTTTGCACTACGGTCGCTCCCACACACAGCATTAAGCTGTAACAATTTTATCATCATGCGTACACTTAGGCAAATGGCCGTCGCAGCCAAGGAGCGGAATTGAATTAATTTGTGTTTCAAAGAAAGTTCAAAATTGGATATTTGAATTGTGCCTTAGAGTTAATCATTTAGCCTTCAATATTATTTTAATACGTCGTCACTTAGAAGCGATAGCGACACGATTTTTGATTTCCATTTTAAATTTCAATGTACGAAATAATTGTCTCGCACTGTGTACAGAATATGCACTAAATGTATAGAGTAAAGGATAACTTTATAATTGTTTCAAATGGAAAACCCCCTTTCTGTGTAAATGGACTAATGTTAACGCAATAATGTTCAAAAATATTTCGTTTTATTGAATGTTTGTAATGGATATTGACATTATTATATAAATAAATACTAAGAACAGTATGTGTACATGTCGTAGCAATAAAATATGTGTGGCAATAAGGTCTAGTGCATTTGCTTTTGTGTCTTTATTGAATCAAAAATTGTATAGAGTAACTTCTACTGTCCCTGTCAGCTGTAAACACGCTTTACGATGTACGTACAATAAGTTCAAATTTCTCGACGTTATTGAACTATATATTTTATAATAATATAAGTAATTAGTTGTTTAGAACAAGATGTATTTACGTAGTGTTTACATATAATATTTATTAGTTTATTTTGATCACCCGTACGCAACTGTTTTATCGGAGTTACAGACGGCTGTGACTTATTTCGTTTATGATTCTCTTGATCCCGTTTTTATTGGGATATTAATGTTCTCAGTGACATCTTGTGGTAAGTCTGGAACTAAAAGAAACTCCTTAGTGTAAATGCACTATACACAGTTAATGCAAAGCGCTCAGTTGCGGTCCGTATGGTGTAGACGAGCACTAATTCACTATTACACAGTGACTATGATCAAGATTCATGTATAAGATCCGTTTATGATCTGATTATCATTGTTCACTAATAAATTATCTATGTCTAAAGAAACTCAGTGCTTTGATATCAAGCTACAGCATTATCTGAAAAGGTATAGTTCTATTGGGCACTACGAGCAATAAAATGAGATTATAATGACATAAGACGTGGCTTTATATCAGACACGGGAGTTGCGTAGTGGTGACGTCACTGTAGGTATACAACGCTTCGTGGTTTCCATTGATTGTTGGATTTGCATGTCGATTTCACGAGTTAGTGTAAGATAAAGTGCCAAGAGTCGCGAGTCCTTTCCTAAGTGCAATTCCTTCTCAATTACTATAAACTGTGTGTGTATTTCTTGAATTCTTGGATAGAGGACTGTATTCCACACAGTCCGGCAACTTGCTTAGCCAAAATGTCGATGTTACAGTGTGCAGGATACCTTTATGTTGCTCATATCATAATTTTACATGACGACGATATACCGTTTTTATTGATCAATAAAAATAAAAAAAAAGTTTGTTCTGATATACTTTAAAGGTATCCTGTAAAATCAGCGAAGTGAGAATATTTGTAAAATTAAAACGCATATTTAAATTAATTAAAAAACAGCTAATGTTAACAATATATTAAGTATATAATATTATTATGTTTTGTAGTGGATGTTTTATTCTCGATTTATAATAGTGATAGGTAGACGATGGTAACGTGTACGTGATAAGTACGTAGGAATATGTGTATCAAGCGTTGCAATACAACACATTATGGGTTTTATTGCAACAAAGCTGATGATCGACAGTTTTTATACGATGTTTTCGTAAGTGAATTTATGAAATGTTGCATCGGAACAGTCGATTTGATATCGCGTCGGGCCTTAGTTGTAAAAATAAAGGCGACGTCGTTTCGTTTATAACGAGTAGAGGCGCATATTTAAAATTAAGGGGACAAACAAATTATAGTATAAAAATTGTTTACCAAACGCCCGGTCGGGTGTTAGACGAAAATATTATTTTTCTTAGATCACATTATATTGTAATAAAATGGTATAGAATGTACGGGCGGGTGCCAGCGGGGGGTCGCGGCTGCGCAGACGTCGTCGGAATTAAAAAAAATGATATTTTTTTACGAGCGCGAGCTCGCGGCTGCCGCCGGCAGCGCGGCATATTTGTTATGTTTAAGAGGAAATATCTATTGTCTATTCCAAGGGTTGAATAACTACCAACACTTTTTTATATTACAATAATTATAGAAATTATTATTGAAATGTGTCTTATTCTTTTATTTATATTTCCCTGAACTACCCTCAGATGTCTGAATTCCAGTATGTGTAGGAATATTTTTATTTATCGATTAATTTAACCTTTATCGCAATAAAATAAATGACGCACTTAATGCCATACAGCATTTTCTGCTTGTCAACAAGTAAGTGTCCGATAGAAGGCGTACGGGCGCAACAAAAAAAAAAACATTAACGCTATATACACAAATAACATGATATTGCAAAATTTACCTAGACGCCCATACGTTATTCATTACCGTAGCACCGTAGTGACGTCTCTTGGAGCGTTTTCGGCCGACTAGTAGCAGTGCCACAAACAGCACCATATCTCCGGAACTATTCATCGCAGACTTGCAATTACTTCTATATTATTTCTCAGATATTAATGGATTCATCATCATCAGCCCTTTTACGTCCCCACTGCAGGAGCTCTGGCCTTCGTTATGGATGGTTAAGGAGTATAGGCCATGACCCTCCACGCTGGCCCAATGCGGATTGGAGGGTATTAACGACTGCAAATGCAGCCGGGACCAACAACTTAACGTGCCTTCCGAAGCACGGAGTAGCTCGAGATAATAATTTTTTAGTCACCCATCCCGTGACCGACCCTTGCGAAAGTTACTTAACGACAACAATCGCGGGCCGCGGCGCTTACCCATTAATGGATTATTTATTTATAAATATAAAAATTTGTCCAAGGTGCTCAAAAGATGTCAAGTACAATAGTTGAATTTTCTCTTAGCAAACAAAGTCGTACGCGAAGTGATCATAATAGCATTGCTTATCTCATTAATTCCTTTTTTATTTATACTTAATCACCAGTGGTCGGAATTAGGTAGAGTTATTCATGTACTTACACTGATTTCATACAGCGAAAGAATAAAGTGGATATGCCTCAAATCCCGAGATTAATTTTAAAGAGCAGAAAAAATCCCGTGGTTTTTTAAATAAAAAGTTATTTACTTTTACGCAATTTAAACTACTGCACGCACGACGTTGCCAAACTTACACCAATGACATCGGATGTCCAAAGTTGCAAAATACCAATACGCGCGATGTTGCCACGAAGGTCCACATTAATATCAACATTTCGATGCAAGTACATAAATAACTCTACCTAATTCCGACCTCTGTTAATCACACACAAAGTTTATCAGATGTCAAAGTCAAAGTCAAAATAATCTTTATTCAAATAGACTTCTTTAAAGTACTTTTGAATCGTCCAAAAATGACAAACATTATTAGAGATTCTATACAAAAGGCGAGCATAACTCAAACATGAGTTTTCTTCCAGCAAACCTATGATTGATAGTGTACTATTAAAACAGGAAGGTGAGAAAATAAACACGAAAAAGAAAAATTATATCAACAGAATAAAATACACGCGTAATATATAAATATATTTAATTAATTCCTTAATAAATTAAAAATATCTTCTGCACTTCAGATCTTTTTCATCATTTTAGGACCTTCATTTATTATGATCAATATCTTATATTTAATGTTCGAATCCACACAATTTAAGAAAAATTTACATGTTATCCAATTATGGTTTCGGACATTCTACGTAAAGAAATTGCGTTAAGAATGGGCCAAGTATGAAACATCGCACATTCTAACATCACCTGTCGGTCATTCGTGAGGTCTAAACAAAATTCGTTTCGTCGAAGAGTCGAAGGAGGCGACTCTCTTGAATATACGATCAAAGTATCAATAAAGGAATGGGCTGAATAAAAACCGCTGATTGTATTATACAATATATTTATTGAGTCTAATTTCTGACGTGTTTCTTTTTCTTCTTGGTTTTATTCGAGTGTGCGTCTATCAAGTCGTCGATTTCTTTGCTGTCTTCACCGAGTCGCTTCTCTCCGCTGAAAAAATATAAATAATATAACACATGTAATGCCTTTAAAAACGCCATTACAATAAAATAGTCATATAAATAAAATAACTTATGAACGAGTGTTCCATTATTATACTTGTATCTTTCATCAAATTCCATCCAGAAAAAAATCTGGTAAATCATATGTTAAGAGATAATGAACATTCAACATTCAAATCTACAATGTTGATATTATTGTGAAAAAAGTAATGGCGTTGGTGATATAATCAAACTTTATGCCCGCTCTACACATTGCCAACATTGTGCGATTGCCAGCGCAGAAAATTGATCGTATTTCAATGTGTTTCATTCGCTAATATTAAAATATCATAATTATTACCAGCCTTATATAATTATTACGCGGGTGAAATGTGGATTGATGGGTGTTAACGATCGCAGATGCAGCTTGGCAGCAACGAGTTAAGGTGCATTTCCAAAGAACAGAGGGGCTCGCGATAAAAAAAAAAGAGATAGCCCATCTTATGCGAAAGCTTGACTTCCGCATCTCAGACTTAACCTACCAACCACTGCGACATCGAGCTCTATATCCACCACAATTTTCGCCATAACATTCGCTACAATGTTGGTAATTGTGTAGAGCGGGCATAATACGAAAGTACTCCCATAAGCCTAAAAAGCGGTATCTAAACAAATTTCACCTCTTTTCGTCTTATGAAGCATTAAAATATTCTTACTCGATCGAGTACATTACCTCTTCACTGAGACGAGTGACTTTTGTTGCGAATTATTTAGGGCTTTGCCCCAGTCCAAATCGCTGCCTTTGATCCGGTACTGCGCCAAATCTTCGCCCATCAGCTTGGATAATTCCTTGCGCTGTTTCCGTTCCAATTCCTAAACATAATAAAGAACATGTAATAGCAATAAATTTTTCTACCTTTAAAATCAAAACTTATATTTAAACACTCCAAGAAAAAAGAAAATATTTTCTTTTAAATTTTAACTAGCAACTTATAACCTATTATACACAATTTATATGATTATGAAAGCTCTTATCATGCATTGTCCTCCAAACTAACTCTGTATACAAAATTTCAGCTCAATCGGTTGAAGATATCCACTTAAAAATTTAGGTCATAGAGTCCACCCAAACAAATATACTTACGTACATTGCAAGTTAAATAAAAGATTTATAATACTCCTTATTAGAAAATACATTATAGTCAACTTTTTACCTACGATGTAATTTTAATATATATCTTTTTTATTATTGTATTTCCTCTTCTGTTTGTTACTTATCATAGAAGTCTCTATCTGAATATTATCGATACCCAAAAAAAAAATTTGTACCTATACGAGAATCAATATAATGTATGAACCCTACTTACTTATTACTTATACTTTTTTTAAGGAAAACTGATAATATAAAAAAATCAATTTGAGTGGATCTTCAGATCTAATACGTTTTTGTTATTGTGATTTTAGAACACTTTAAAGTTTCCTAGATTTTTCTCCCTTTTAAAATTCACGAAAATTAGCTTCCAATTTTTAAATTAAACTATTCATAATTGTTTTCATCAATAGGGATGATGAGTGGGTAAAAAAATGCAATTCTATTTAGTCCGTCAGTCAGATAATAGAAAAAAATTAGATACGTATTTATTTTTATTTCAATTTAACAAGTAATAGCTTAGATAACAGGCATTAAAGTTGAGGAGTGGGGGCTCGCTACGTCACAGTTGAGAAGAAAACGTACCATAACGCGACGTCATGCGAAATTTCAACTCCATGTAACGCCGTAATTTTATGATTACGAAAAAAATAAAAAAATACGTGTTTAATATTTTTTAACACTCTACCTGACGGACAAACAAACAAAAATTAGTCATCATCCCTATTTGAATGTAGACTATTTATTTTGTATTTTAACAAATTAATATTACCTTCGCAGCTTTAGAAAGCTCCTCTTGTAAACTCTGTTTCACCGGTCCATCAGTATTAGTGTCCGCCGTCTTATCTTCTATGCCAATTTCTTTTGCTACAGTCTCTTCTAGGATTGTATTGATACATGCGTTTATCTTCTTGCATGCTTCGTAGAATTTCGCTAGTATTTGAGAACCGGGCAGACCTAATTCGTTCGCTATGTCATCTACATCTTTCATTTGAAAACCCATCGCTATAAAGACTACCTAGAAAAAGAAAGTTAATTTCTTTGAAACGACGTTGATGAATTAGTGTGTTTATTATTACTGTTAGCAAAAGATTTAAAATCAATATCACTTGTGCTGTATTTGATTGCAGAAGAACCTTCACAAAATCAATGGATGACCAATAATGTTATAGCTTAGAGGTTACTTCTGCATCTGCATAAATCTTTCACATCTCATTGGGTCCTCGTAGTGAATTTTATATTTATATCCATAAAAGTCGGTGGTTCAATAGTAAGCTGATAATTAAAAGCAAATATATATCGATATTAAGGCTATAATACTTTTTTAATTTTTTTTTTCGTAAAATTATAATTATCTTACCTGCTGTACAGCATCCAATTTGATTTTGCTCTTGGTATGGAAGACAAGTTCGGCTAGCGGTGTTAAGAGATCCGTTATAAGGCGATAGTCGGCTTGTTGACGACAGTAAGAGTCTACACGTGACAAGTCATGACCAGACAATTGCTGTTCTATCAACTGTTTTGTGAGTGCTAAATGAAAAAAATCAATACTTAGTACCTATACTCCATTCATTATAGCATTAGACAGAAGTTAAATAAGGTTCTTTTTATAGTATACTTTGTGACAAAATATCAATAATCATGTTACTCTTAAGACTGACCGCTATTTTGCTACATATCCACTTAAATACCAACTGCTATACATACTTAAATGTTATGATTTAAGCTATCTATTAAACAAATTTATGAGTATTTGACTAACTTAAATGATTTAATAACTATTACAATAAAAAGTGTTCATCGTAAAGAACCTCTAGAAGCAGGGTTGGATAGTTTCGGCACGATTCTCATGTCACTATAACTCTACCAAATTTAAAACGTTGCCTAACCCCTTCAAACGTTTCGACAGTACAGCTTTTTAATTTTGTCAGACTATTATTTATTCATAATTGTTAAATGATTTTAACAATTATGAATAAATAGTAATCTGGGATTGTCATCCATTGTGAATGCTACTGACTTTCTTGTTGTTTTGCCATTTTCGGTGATTAAGTTGTTATCGTTTTATTTTGCTGCATTTGCAGTCGTTAATACCCTCCAATCCGCATTGGGCCAGCGTGGAGGGTCATGGCCCATCCTCCTTAACCATCCATACATAAGGAAGGCCTGAGCCCCTGCAGTGGGGACGTAAAAGGGCTGGTGGTGTGGTGGTGGTGTGTTTTATTTTTGTTTTGTTTTTGTTGTTAAGTTATGTTAAATATGGACGATGCCGGTGCAGGCCCGAGTGGCCTACAAAAATTACGCTCTAAGCCCCTACCCTCAACCTTTGACTAACTAATTACACTTACAATTAGAATTTATCAAAACAACAGCTGTCTGTTGTTTCAGTTTTAGTTCCATGTTGGCTTGGGAGAAAAAGATGTATTTATAAAATGCTGGCCACATCTCAACCTCGAGGTATCGTAAAAAATGGAAAATTGCCCAGCTCTTTCAGACTACCTAACAATCAAAGTTTCAACAAAACTAATAATATTTTTATAATAGATATGTTGAAAATAAAATGTTCTGCACTGCTGTTTCTATGACCCTCTTTTTTCTAATGTTATAATGAATGGAGTATAAATGATTAGAAATACAATATATATTACTTAAAATAGTTGTCAATGAAAAGGTATCATATATACTCCTTAAAATTATAAACCCGAATATTTAATTAGTTATTTTTTCATTAATATCAGAAATAATAAAAGACCTAATAAAGATCCTTGAAGTACTCCGGACCATACATCTACATATGAAAAAGATGAGAAACTACTGAATACAATCTCTTAGGGCTTATTCTTGACATAATACGTAACGTATAGGATTATATGCCTATGAAAACCAAGTGTTGAAAATAATAAGAAGAGATGGTGAACTTGATCAAACGCTTTACTATAATCTTATAGATATTTTATTTTAACTTTATAATCACCATTTTTGTGGAGAGTTCGAATAATGGTAACTATAATAAATATGAGAATTCATCACATACTTTGCATAAAACAAAAAAATACATAATATAAGCAGCAAATTACTCACATGGGCGATTAGCGGAAGCGTCGATGACCATAGTTGACAGTGCGAGTGAAGCGGTCAAGTTCCTTAGCGATCGAGCCAGTAATCGTGCAAGTCGGCGCCTGAAGTCTGCGCTATAAGCGCTTAGCCATGAGTTCTCTTGCAACGCTCGAATCATTATGCATGAATGCTCGCCTGTCAGCTCGTTCGCTTTTTGACTACAAATAAATCAAAGCCTATTATTAACTCTCGGCTGGGCGTAATAAAGACTGTCCCTATCTATCTCATTGCAACTGTCAATTAGATAAATTGAGATGGAAGATATAGCACGAAAAAACTACCTATTTCTATTTAACAAGTCGCAAAACCATTATGATTCATGTTGCATAAAATAATCCTGGACTATAAATTGGCTTTCATATTTATCAATTTTCTCTATAACAATAGAATATTAAAAGTAATTATGTGACTTTTCTGCGTTACTCGGACCCCTTACAAATATAAATTAGTTTTCTAATTTTTGGAGTTCTGTAGCCAAAAGGTAAAAATTGTATTACCACGACTCGTCTATCCTATAATGTGTTTCTTTCTAAGAAAAAGATTACAATAAATATTTAACGGAGCTCCCATACAACATAATTGTCTTTGTGTCGTTATCGGTAAGAAATTCCTTTGTACAGGAGTCCGACACGCATTTTACCGTTTAATTAAATGTGTTTATATTAAAAATATTATTTACGAAATTATTTTATTTTATTTATTTAGGTACGTCAACGTCATACATATTTAACTTTTACAATTGAATTTATTTAAACTATTCTAGATAATATGTACTTACCTAACATAAACGGGTACATATTTCTGTGACTTCCAGAACTTGAGTAGGTCTTCGGTCAGTCCGAAACTGGTACCGAGATAGTCGAGGTGCTCCGCCCTCACCTCTGTAAGTCGTTTGAGTAACGTCGGCGGCTTCGATCTGACGATAGTAATACCATAGTTAGCATTTAAAGCCCCATGCATTTATTAAGTAAGATGATTTAATGTGTGAGTGGATGAAATAAAGAAACAGACTATCGGCCTGTTTCTAAATTGAGAAAAGTACTGATCATTCATGGAAATCAGAAACGAAAATCTATTTAAATGCCTTTCGAAATGGCTTAAGAACGATTTGAGACATGCTTAATTTTATATACTCAATTCAGAAACCAGGTGTATTAATTACACATTTTTATATGTCAAAATGAAAACATAATTTCTTCAAATAAGTAAACACGGCTGCAGATTAGGTTACCACCAAATAGGCAATTTTTCCAGTTGATTTTAAACTCTATCATCAAAACATTAATGTTAAAATTTAAGTGTATAAACTGATGTGCTTTATTGTACTTTTGGAATGTCTAAAAATATTTTTTTCTACCACTCTTTCAGGGTGTCTTTTGCTTGATTACGAGAATAAGAGAAAATTACCTTGTTAACTAAGACACTTACTAATCTCTTCGTCAGAATCATCGACATTTACATCAATCGCTAGTTGAATTGTGTGAAATTTATAGAATATGGCAATAAAGCATTTAGCTAGAAATTAGCCTGTGGTTTTTTGAAGAAACCATGATTTTCAAACTTAAGCAATTTACCTGGGTACTATAGTCTCTGTATGAAGATTGCCGTTTTGTTTATCATTGGGGGAGTCTTCATCATCAGAGGCAGCTTCATCGAGACAAGCAATATCTCCGCTGTAATAAGCGGCAAGTTGCTGCAAAGCGCGTTTGCCGTAACCCATCTTAAAAAATAAAAAAGATATCATCATCAAGATAACATTGTGATTACTAAATTTATCAAATAAAAAGGTTAGAAACAAAAAGTGGCATTTACACGTTTTCCAATAAAATGAAGAAAAAAATATTGTCTCTGTTTATTGACAACCTCATGATATTCTTTTGTAAAGTATATAAGATAGAAAGCGTACGGACTGCAGTAAGCGAGTTTATTTTATACTATGTATAGAGAAGCATTCATAAAATAACAACACTGAAAATTTTATACACTTATTTTACAAAAAAACCTTTGATAGCGGGGAAAATGTAAAAAAAACAATACTTTAGATGTCACCTTTTGTTCCTAACCTCATTATGCGTAAGACACGCAGTAATTGTATGTCTGTTTTATAGTTATTCACATACCCGTTGATATGATGGATGAGTAGCTATCCGGACGATACGTGCCCCAGATAACTTGGGGAAGTCCTTATCTCCGTACTGCTCACATATATTCCAAGGTATGAGATCACCTGCTGCTTTACGACCACGACCCAGGCTGTCTTTTACAGACCTGAGCACAACCATTATAATTATACACATGATATGGATGCATGCAATGATATTACATATAAAAATTGAGATAGGCGTTGGCAGTGTTAACTTGGTGCATTTGTATTTGCATTCTTGGTAAGTATAAGAGTAGATTTAATAAGACACCTAATATAGAGAACTTTGGCACATATGGTATGTAATGTGCTACAAAGGTATTTTGTGAACTGTGAAAGATTATAGATAACAATAATAAAAGATATGACTCACTTTTCAGATATATTTCCCTCTAGACACATCTGTATGACGCACAGTACTTCCGGCATAGAAGTGGAGTTAGGCGGCGTGGGTGCGAGCAGGACAAACAAACAATGCGCCGGCGCATCCGCCAATAGTTGGAGATCATTCGGACTGTTCTGTTGTGCAAATTGACCTCATGTAGTTATTAGCAAACGATGTATAAAATCTTACTAACGGTATGTAGTAAATGGTCGATCTACAACTTGGCAGATTTGATGGGTGATCAAAAATTTATTATTTTGGACTCTTCCGTGCTTCGGAACTGTCATTATTCTCCCATCACAAAATTACCCAAACTATGACGTCAAAGTTTAGTAAGCTAACCTTTGACGTAATAGTTTGGGTACACATTAACAGTGGATAGATACACTAGCTGTGCTATTAATAAACTAGGTTTAGTGTCAGAGTAAATTTACGCCAAAATTGCAAAATTAGTATTAATCCAAATTCATATTTTACAGAGAATAAACAAATCTACTACCTTCTAGGAGTATATAAATATTACTCTCGTAGAACCTCATACTAGGTTAACCTTTGTTAAGTCTCTGTTTAATAATATGAATTTTGACTAATACTAAGTGCAGTCTCAGCGTAAATTTATTCCAACGCAAACCTTGTTTATAAATAACATTGATAGTGTAAACACTACCACATTTTTATATATAAAAACTAGTTATGTATTTATTTATAAAACTAAAACTATCGTTATAGTTAGTAATATTAAAATTTATAACAAAATCCCTAAATTTATACTGTCAGTAGAAAAAATATAGTTAAGTATTTATTAAAAAAGCAATTCTTTGAAATGTTGATTGAAAACTATAATAGTTTGCAAGAGTTTTTGACGGTCCCATTGAATTTGTGCAGTTCGTGCTGTGCTAACTTTTAGACGTATAATATAGCTTTAAAAATGTATTTATTTATAGGATAATACATTTTTAAAGCTATATTATACGTCTAAAAGGTAGCACACACAATAGGGATGATGACTGAGTAAAAAAATGCAATACTATTTAGTCCGTCAGTCAGATAATAGAAAAAATATTAGATACGTATTTTTTTTACTTCAATTTAACAAGAAGTAGTATAGAGAACAGGCATTAAAGTTGAGGAGGGGGGGCTCGCTACGTCACAGTTGAGTAGAAAACGTACTCTAAAGTGACGTCATGCGAAATTTTAACTCAATGTAACGCCGTAATTTTATGATTACAAAAAAAATAAAAGAATACGTGTTTAATATTTTTTAATACTCTACCTGACAAATAAACAAAAATTAGTCATCATCCCTATTAGCCATCCTTATAACACAACTATAAACCTGGGTTTTATTTATTTATTCTTTGAGAAACGAGATTATAATAAATATGATATGGTTACATTACCTTGTAATGACTGGCAACATAAATCGCGACTAAACGATGAAGGAATGCTTCGGCAGCACGATGGTAACAGAACAAAGCGTCTCTGTTGACCCGGTAGAGGTCACAAGCAGCAGGGGGCGGGGCGCCCACGCCCACTGAAGGGGGAGGGGCCTCCAGGCAGAGAAGGGAGTTAAGCCACGTCTCTACCGGATCTCCGGCGCGGTAACGAATCGGCTCCTCTAGTTTTATCTGAGCAACATAACAAACAAATACTAATATTATAAAGAGGCAAGATTTCATTGCTTGTTTTATTGTTTATATATAACAAACAGGCTCCGAATCTACTGGACCTTATTTTAAAAATTCTTTCACTTACGGGAAGCTAAGTCATATACTGTGAACATAGGCTACATTTTATCCCGAAAAACAATAAATAAAGGACTGAAAACAAGAGTTGAAGTTTGTATAACGAATTAAAACATTACCATTAGTAATAATTGTTTACTAATCAATTTGTCATTATAATTATATCTATCTCATGATATGAATCGATATCCAAATAAATAGTTCCCTAGGACCACACTGGCGAAGCTAGTAAGTATAGCACTAGCTTTTTATGGGAAGTTTGAAAGTAGCGCCAGTGACAGAATCAGAGGCAACAGATTATCTTGGTTCATGTGAAAAGAAGAGATGATGATTCCGATGAAATGAGTAGAGATGATATAAGGAGAAGACCAAGCAAAAAAGGGCAGACTGTATAACATATGATATATGCCCTTTTTTGAGGAATGAGGTAATATTGCCCCGGTATCAAAATTTAAAAAAGGGAAATCATATGGTGATACAATACATAGGTGTTTGATGGCATAGTGGTTAGGGCATTCTGTCTGTGATGCGGGAGTTAAGCAGCTTTTGCAAGGGTCGATCATAGGATGGATGACCAAAACTTTAATATATCGATCTCCAACAAGTTAAGCCTTTGGCCCTGGTTGCATCCGCAGACGTTTATACCCACCAATCTAACTGGCCTGTTAGTTTGAAGCCGATGACATAAATAGGTAATAAATGATAGTCATATTGTTACCGGGGGCGGAGCGTTGTGTTTGTTCTGCAGCTGCGCGAACAGTTTGAGTGAAAGTGCCCGACCAGTGCCCTCGTATCCAGACACAGTGGACGATAGTAGAGCGAGAGGTGCCCGCTGTGCCGCCGCCGACACGTGTGCGAGCGGGATAGCGGCCGCTTCATCAACTAGTACTAAATCCGCTGCAGCGAGTAACGAGTGATCGTCCGGTGTTATGTACTGTATGTAATAACAGATCGTATATTTTTAATAAATAAAATCTTCAACTCTAAAAAACTACTTATAAATTCTTATTTTAGTTTAATAAGAATTAAACTCGTTTTCTTGCTTTAAAATTTAATTTCAAATTGTTTATATTCAAAGATATCTGCAAAAATTCTGTCTGCCATAGTCATGTGAAAGAGACATGCAGACACAAAGCACATTATTTAATAGATAAGACCTTAATAAGCATTTTTCATTAAGATTTTTTTTCAGTATAGCATTATGCCATCTATGATATAAAATTCGATATAGATTTTTAAATAAAAATAAAAAATATCAGTAAATATTCATTATTTTTGATGAATAATAATTACAGATGTATCAAATCGGGAGTTCAAGTTACCGAGAATCACCTGATTTTGTTTTTTCAGTTCAGATAACTTAAAATATTATCACACAATTAAAAGGAAAGACATTGCTTTTACAAAACAATGAAGTTCAATAAATTTATTATTTTAATTATCTTACCTGTACTGTCTGCCTAGAATTCCTCGCTATGTTGATCCTTACGATAGCTTTCTTAAAGTCCGGATTTGTAGACCTGACTATATTGTAATCAATATGCTCTTGGTACAAACAAGCGTCCAGTCCTTTCAACACAAACTCGAAGAGTGTTATCAGATTCTCAGGATGGGGTGAAGTGACGTAGATATTGACATAACCAAGGGCAACGGCTGCGGATACTGCGAGACCAAGACAAGCGGATTTACCGCGACCTCTAGCGGCAGTAAGGCAGTGAGGAGGTCTGAAATGTAATATTTTTATTTACTCATGCTCACAATCTATTATTACAGTATCAAAGGTGTTAATAAAGCGGCGAAAGATTTCAATCGAGTGGGTGACCAAAATGAAAATAAAAGTGTGTTTACCTTGCCTGTTTATCAGCTAGTGTATTGATAAGAGCTACCAAAGCAGTTGCTTGATCATATGTGCGACATAGAGCCACTAGTGGCCCTGCAGGTGGAGAGTCAGATAAAGAGGACACCAATCCCGTCAGCTTTGGATTTACTTTCTGTATGAATACAAATTTTTTCACCATTATAATAATAATTAAAAAAAAAACAGTTAGTTTTTTAATATGCATTGTTAATTTCCATTTTCAAATTTTTGGTTAGTTTTAATTATAAATGAATTTAATATTTTAGTAGGATGAGGTATCCAATCTGAAGTATATAGATGAAATATGGAGTATCTGCATACTTAATATGTATTCCTATTTTTATAATATGTATATCTTATGTGTACCTAATTTTTCTTTAATACATATGTTGTAATGTGAAATATTGACAAATATCAAGACATACAATTTTATTTCGTATGGTTACAACCTTAACCTATGTTACCTTTATAATTGAATTTGGATCTTCATAGCCTATGTTAGGTTATGAAGATCCAAATTTTAACACTTAGATGAAAAGTCTCAACTCCGCCCAGAAACGCAGAAGCTTTTTGGGGGTTCATGTTGTAGGATATATTTTTTTAGACTAAAATCATCTTTTATACACAAAAATATAAAATTATTTGCATTTTACCTCAGGTATATTATCAACTGGCTCAACTTGTGCAGTTTTAGATGAAATAGGTAGGACTGTAAGAGAATCATCCAGGATCAAGCAACGAGGGTTGTCAGCCAATGAAAGTAAAAACCGCTCATTAAATCTGTTCACAACTGTATCATGAGCTTCTGTTTTGAATCTGTAATAAATTGTGGTTTGAACATAAACATAGATAAATAGGTAAGTAGGCAAAATAAAAAAATTTCTGCCCTGAAGAACAATTTTGGTTTTTCAGGTTACAGTGTTAGTTTTCAAGCATCAATATGTTTAATTTCCAATGCTAAAATTCCAAGATAATTATCTGATAAAATAGACTGATATTTGTTATTTTCTCTTAAATGTTACCTAGAATGAACATCCATAGAAATAGAATGCAATTGTCGTAAAGAGTCCATAGTTTTAAGCAGGAATATAATGAGGCCTCCACCTTCTACAGTTTCAATAGTACGGGCCATTAAATTTGGAGTGAGAGCTTCAAAGTCCTGAAATAAATTTATAGCAAGTCTTTATCAGATACTATGAAAGGCAAAATTTATCTGTGCAATTTTAAACCTTATTTAGTTCATTTTGATTCAATATTGATGTCATATTCCTTTTGTACATTGAATATACACATATTGAATAATTAAAGTAAAAAATTGTGCAACAGTTCATTTCCATATTTAACATACCTTGTGTATTCATAAGTTTTGAGACGAAATAAAAGTTGCATAACATTTTTAATAATTATCTTATATTTTCAAATTTTTCAGTAACCATTAAATAGATAATAGTCAACAATAAAATATATATTTTATTCAAAATGACCGCCCTTATTTTAAATACAGGCCCTTATACAATTTGGCCAGCCATCAATGGTGACAAGAAACTTTTCTAGCGGAATTTGCTTTGCTTCTCAAACAAGGGTTCGCTTCAGTGACTCCAAGTTTGGGTCAGACTTTCGGCAGGCCCTGAGCTCTAATTCAGTTCATAAAGAATAATCCATAAATAAAAGTAAAAAGTTTGTCTCAAAACTTATGAACACACAAGGTACAAGAAAGTATTTACAAATTATCATTGTTTTAAATTTGTTTACTAGTCCATTGGCAATAAGCTACTAGAAGGAACAATATGTTAAAGAACAGATTAATAAATATTGAAAGACAGAGACCATTGCGATTCCGTAGTCTTGGTTGCTTCAAATATTAAATTATTAGGCTACATTTACACCAAACCAACTCTATGTTTAGTGTATATGCTTAATTAGACAATTATTTATTTAAATGTACCTGTAAAACACAAACACCATACGTCTGTCCGAGCATGGCATGACTCTCAGAGTAATAGCGACCATGAATTGTAGTTGCCACTCTAAATGCATCAAACAATGACTCTTCAGACACTTCAAGTTTTCCAGCTGCTATTTTCTTTGCCCTTTTCTTTCCATGACTAGAATAGTAGTAAATCAAGTCAATACATTTTTATTTTAAATAAATCTTTGTTTACTAAATGGTATCACTTTATTGCATGAACTTACTTGCTGATAGCTTCATCTTTATTTTTGTAACACCACAGTACAGTAGGTCGAGCTTTTACCGTTGATTTTACCAACATATCATACAATATAGGAACCTGGAAAGGAGATTTCATATTCATTGCAACGCGAATCACAACAGTAAAGGTTAGTTAGAAGGGCTAATGTTAATATAAAATAATCAGTGAATTTCATAAAGCTACTTACTTGATCTCTACTTTTGTCTCCAACAAGTAAGAACATAGTCCTGTGTCCCAATTTAACACCATTTTCTATCATAACCCTTATTCTATTATCTATCTTCTTTTTGACCATATTTCCTTTTTTTATATTTACAGCAAGATTAAATCGTTATGAAACCAGAGAAGAGATATAAACTAAACGTGTTTTTTTAATAATTATATTCTCTTTCTCTTTGCAAATCCGAAATATAGAGTAAAGTTAAGTACTCTCTAACCTCAAAAACAGGCCAATATGAAAACACCACACGTTATTTTGACGCTTATTTAATGTCAAAGGAAGACTACATCTTTTTCTTCTTTTTAATTATTGGCGTTGCCCTTATGGATTTTGCCAGAATACAGTGTTTCACTTAGATTACTTCATATTTTAGTATTTTTTAACTCTGCTTTTTGTATGTTAGCCGAAAGCCCTAGTTAAATTTTGTTGAAGTTAAATTTTACCTACATGAAAGAGACTGTTAACTTACACAAATTGAGTGTTATCGATTAAGTTTTGTTATCATGTTTGTTTTTATTATTTTTTGAAAACTAATGAATATGAGGTTAAATTATGAAATTCTGTATTGTCGCAATGAGTAATAAGTTAGGAATAATTAAGTTGGAACGAGTAGGAGTTAATTGTTTGAATTTTTTTTTATGATAAAGTAAGTCGAGTAGAAGATGATGAAGCTGAATGATTTTATATATAGCTGAAGTTTTGTGGCAAACAAAGTCGAGAAGAAGATAATAAAGTTTGTTATAAGATGTTAGGTTTAGAGACAGATAGGAATATGTACACGGTAGAACAGAACGACCAACACTTCCGAGGTTCCCGGAGAGTACTATTTGTCTATATTATGATGTAAAAAAAAATTATATATCTAGGTAAAATAGTTTCGGAGATATTAAATTACAAAGATTTTGGAAAATAATGAGTGTTTTCAACCCTTAGTCAGCTGTTTTTGGGACGTACTAAGGAACAAGTTTTATTCGGTCATTGACTTCTTAATTTCTAAAAACATAATAAACTACTATTGTGATCTATTTAACGGTTTTCTAATAATTTCTAATTGACAATCACTAAACGAATCAGTCAAAATGCTTAAATTAATTAATACACTAACTTTTAATAAATCATTGTAAAAATGTTATTCTAACGTTAACTAAGTAACATTACATTACTACATTACTTCAAATAGTCAGAGTTTAAAAAAAAAATGTAACTTAATGGATCAAATAACAGGATCATTTATTAAAGTAGTTAAACTAATACATCATTTATTAACATAAAGTACATTTGTGATAATAATGAACTATTATCACAAATGTACTTCATGTTAAAACACTAAGTAAGGGTTTGGTTACTTATTTAAAATGTATTTAAAAAGAAAATTCAAAAACAATTGCGTAATAACAAAATACGAATTCGAGAAGATGAAGTGAATTCGTCCCTGGTTATTAGGTAATGGAAAAAACCAGTTAAAGGAAAAAAACAGCCAGTCGCCATCTACTTGCCGTACGCTAGCCAATCACAGATCTCGACGGGTGGCGTTTTTTGTCCCGTTTGCATTTTTTATCCCGTCGGCGTCGGCACCTTGATCAGGTTTTTTTAGTCGCCGCCGGACGTTTGAGTGTGAGATACGTTACTGCATCGCTGCTACCGTAACGCTACGAAGCGACTTTTCCGTCCATTTTTCTGTTGTAATTTTAGTTAATTTAGTTTTAAGTTAACTAGTTTTTAGTGTGTGTGTTTAGTTTAGAGAAGCCTAGTTAGTTTAGATATTGACATTTGGCAATCTGTTATATACAAGCGCGTCTATTGTTTTTATATAGAAAAGTCACTCTTCTCATGAAGTGACTTTCTTCTTATGAAGAGTGACTTTTCTATGTAAAAACAATAGCTTTATAGAGTCTGGCAAGCGAAACGTGTCACAAGAAAAGGGCGGCAATTTCAAAAATTCTTAAGCAGTAAACACTGAATGTAGTACTGCAAAATAATTTTGATACTTTTATTAATTATATTTAATCTTAACATTTAGATATCAATTAAAATTATTTGTTTTGGAACATTTGACTAAAGCGTGACTGTTCTTAATTGTACAGTTAACAGCATATCAGTAGGCCTATTCACTAACTCAACTGACAACCAAGAATCGTCATCACCGTAAAAAATAGACACTTTGATTGTGTCAAAATCACTATTTCGTATTCTCTATCAATGATGAGCAATTTCGAAATGTCAATATCGGCATTCTCCACTGGACTCCATTTTGACACTTGATTTCGTATCGATAAACTGTATTAAAGTAACATTGTTGCAAAGCATATTTGAAGTCGTCGCATAGTACCTCTTAAGCCATTTGTTGTTAAATTAAAGCGAAAAAAAAATACGTATCCAATATTTTTCTATTATCTGACTGACGGACTAAATCGAATCTTTTTTTTAACCCATTCGTTATACCTATTGGCTAACAGCACTTATAATATTAAAAATTCATATTTGTCATTAATTAAAAGGGTGTTTTTTTGCAACGACTTCTTTGTTTTTTTGTAATGAATATGGGCGACTCTGGCCACATTTTTTTAATAAATGTGATGTTAGCCAATTTTGATTTCTGGCCCTTATATTTATAATGTGTTCATAACACATACATGTCTCCTAAGGGATTTTCATCACAACCTTTTGCTCTGATCCAGAACCACTATCTATCAAATTAAATTAGTCAATATAAACACCAGATTACAATAAAAAAAACATTTATTTTTGTTACAATTAAGTGCCATGGATAAATTACATAATACAGGTGTCACAAAATCATCATGTTAATCACAATAGAAAATTTAAGATAAGATTTTGACTATGAATCAGACTAAAAATACTTTAGTCTGATTCATAGTCAAAATCTGTTTCTAAATATTCTACACCTGATAACAATGACAAGGAATCATCAGAGTCACTCTCTTCACTACTGTCTGCACCAACAGATATAATAAATTTTTCAAGTTCGTTTTCAACAATGCCATCTTTTAATTTGTAATCATTTTCGACATTTAAAACATGATCAGTGTATTTCTTCCAGTCACTAGGGGTAATTAAGTTAAAACACTCTATTATTAAGTTTTCCATTTCCTTTCCTGGTATTCCAATGTTTCTGCTTGCAATTTTTCTTTTTGCTTGACTCCAAACCATCTCTATTGGGTTTAAGTCACAATGATACGGTGGCAGCAATAAAAGTTCATGATTATGTTCTTTTAAAATCTCTTCAGCTTCATATACAGGCAATGTTTTCTTATCATTAACCAAACACATTAACTCTGCCTTTGTCTGATATTCCTCAAAATGTATTCCATTATTTACAAGCCATTTACGGATATCTGCTTTGGTATTAGACATTATAGGCGGTTTATTGATTTGTTTTATATGGTAGCTGGCATTATCCATAACAATTACACTGGGCTTACTTAAATTTGGTATTAATTTTTCTCTGACCCATTTCATAAAGTTCGATGAGTTCATATCATCATGATAATCAGCAGATTTGGATTTACTACTGAACACTAATAATGCACCAGGCACAAAACCTTCCTCAGATCCAGCATGCACAACAATATGCCGTTTTCCAGAGGATATCTTTGTAGTGACACCAGTTGTTGAAGGTCCTTGCCAAGACTTTTTAACTTTATAATTCTGATGTTATATACATAAGTTTCATCAAGGTACACAATTTGCTTTCCTTCGTTTCGTTTTATATTTATTTCTCTCAAATACTTGTGCCTCCATGCAGAAATCTGGTATTTTTCTATAAGCATAGAACGTTCATTTTCATTGCTTTTAAAAGAAAATCCATTCTTAAGCATAATTTTTCGTAAAGTCTCACGGCTACCACTGAATCCTATTGCATCTTTTAATTCATTGTGAAGGCTTCTTAATGTTGGAACAATTTTTTTCACACAGTAAAATTCATTTACTTTATTCCGAATTGCACTTAAATCAAAATTATCTAAAGCAGACACTGTTGGTTGATGAGGTCGTTTTTTCCCAGGAGTGTCCCATTTTCCTTTATTAATTAATGCTTCATTTTTTATCCTTCTTAGTGTCCTTATACTTACATCTATAAAAGATTAAACACTTTGAAACAAAGATATGTTAAATGTATTTAAAAGCAAATAATGATAGACACATACATCAAAATAATTTAAATACCTATTCAACTATGAATGCAATTTATATTTAATTTAGTTAAGTTTATGTGCATATTTAGCATGTATAACAATTACATGGTTTGATTAGTTTCATGAATTCTGTGAATTTCCTTGTTAAACAAAACATTCTTATGACATCATTGGATGTCAACAATAAAAACCAATACATCATAAAAAACCTATGTAAATATTATAGGAATACTATCAATCTATCTTAAATCAAAACAAGAAAAGAGACCTGTCATTGAAGAAATTTTTTGTAAGTACTGCGTTTCCGAATTCAGCATTTCTTGTTTTTCTAAAGTTTTTATTGCATTTATCTCCTCCATTATTGGTTGAATATCACCATCACAGTTATCTGAAATAGAGCAATATTTTATAAAAAATATCTGTTTAGTTAATTACAGAAAATTAAAACGAAAGTATCAAAATTATAATACAAAACTAACCTAAAAAAGATACAACTTTATCTAATCGTTGTAATTTCTCCATGAAATTTTTATTTAATTCAGTTTTCACTTCAGTAAACTTGTCAATCATGATGGAAAGAATTTTCCTCGATGAACTTTTTATCGGCTTCGACATAATTTTTAACCAAAAACACAAGTTCAAATTCTTCTTCTTCTTCTTCTTTTTAATTAATGGCTTATCTGCGCATTTCGCACAATTCCGCCAATGTGAACTTGCAAAAACAACAAAATTCAATATTCTTGAATTGTCTAACGTAGTGTCAAACTGACAGTTCTATGTTGTTGCCATATGAAAACGGAAAAATAGGTGGTGTCACGTTTCGCTTGCCAAACTCTAGCTATTGTCGGTAGCTTTATAGCAATTTTTGGTGGTAAATAAACTCATGTGATATCGGGTATCATATTCTACTCTGTTTGAATATAATACTTGTAACTGTTTTTTGTTCTTGAAATCATACTAGATGTCATTCGCGATGTTTGGATTTTGTTTATGAAATTCATTCAAATTTACTTTCTGACGTAATAAAAGTAAATTGATTACAGAAAATTAATAAATATGACATCGTTTTGTTTTTCTTATAA